CACCAAGTCCAGTGACAGACCCTAAAATGATTCCATGATTCCTTGCTGACAAACTTAGAAAAGACACCTTCCCCATCCAGAACAATCCACAAAACATTAATTAAAAAGGTTTTGATTCAGTTTTGTTCACACTTGCATCCAACAGGTTCTTTTTAATGCTACCTCCTATGACATCATGGGAGCAGAAAAGGCAACTCTCCATAATCCCATTATACTTCAAAGACCACCACTGGATCAAGTAAGAGTTCCTTCTGAAGGAAGGCACAAGGCTCCAGGGAAAGAACTTTAAGGGCAGGCATGAACACTGTTTAGGCTTCTGCTACAGTCAACTGAATAGAGATGGGTATTTCTAGAGGCAGTAAGATATGTGTTTAAAATAGGATCTGAGGCTTCCGCACCTGAAATTACACAAATGTTTATCTCACCCACTATTTACCTGTCAAACTGAATATACTGCTGGGCTAAGGATGGTGCATCTCACTGAAATGTGGTAGCAATAAAGTTTTGAGCTTAATCTCTCTGCTTTTTCCTACAGTCAAACAAGAACATCATTCTCAAGCATTTATTTGAATAAGGAAAGAAGCATATTAAGGAGGCATTCCTGGCTCAAACCATCTACACTGGGCTGCCTGGATAGCTCCCAAACTAAGCTCTGCATTCAAGACAGTGGAAACATGAGCAAGGTGAATCCCAGACAATGCACAGCATCACAAGCATACATTTAGATTTAGCTGAGCAGATACTGAATGTTTTGATTTCACTTACATAACTCTAATTGTACAAATAATCCAATTTTGACTATTTTAAGTACTAACAGTGTTAATTTAATTTGACCTTTACATTGGAAGGAGCTGCTGGCACATCTAGAAGTCCAGAGGATGAGTCTATACGCATCTGGAACAAAATCAAGCAGAAAGTCTGCAGAAAATAGAAGACAACTGAGTGTATGGAATGGCCGGGGCTGGCAGCCACAGAGTCATGCCCATCAGTTATTGTTAGAACAAACCTTGTGCTTCTCCCATTCAGTCCAATTGCAGTGACCTCACCTGGTCAGATTACTCCTTTACAATGGTGAAGTCAGTCACGTTTTAGTCAGACTTCTGTACTTAGGGAATACTGAGTTGTAAATGATTTCAAGCACAGCTCCATCAAACAGAAGCAATAGCCAACAGGCAGTTTTAGTAGCAGTAATTCGGATCATGGCTCCACCTGCCATTCCTGTATGCACACCTGAGCTGGTTTGTGTAATGCCAGCCAGCAACACAGCCTTGTCCACTCACTTGCAGATGCACTACCCTTTTTGGGTAGGTATTGCAGCCTTGTATGAATATCGAGCTGCTGCAGTTGTCACGATCAGTGCTTTCCAACAACTTTCAGTGCAGAGGAATGTTTCAGACTGCAACACAAAAGCATTCTAATAGGCAGATACCCCTTGTTGACTATCTACTCCCAGCAACCAGTACATGCTGGGCTGATTTCCTGGACCTTCCTGAGGCAATTGCCAGTTGCATACCTACCTGATACAAGGCCTTAATGGCAACAGGATGTTTCTCTGCTCCTGTTTCCACCTGCACTATTTCACCCCAACCCAAAACACTTGAATTAATGCATCTCAACTGAGGAAATGTTTTTTTAAATACTCATTTGAATTTAAATAATTCTATTTGACTTAATTAACTTGCCTATTGCCTATGTAAAGTAGAGCAGCTTTAATTACCTTCCTTTCACAGAGAAAGTGAGACTCGCTAACATTCAGTAACTGCCTTCTGCAGTCATTTATATCTCAGTAAAACATTACTAAGGTGATCTCTTAGAATTCTACTTCTGGGGTGCGCTGTCTTTGCTTAAGACAAAAGAAAAAGAGGAGTGAACCGGGATCTTACATCTTATGATCTTATAATAATGTTATATCTTATAACCACTGAAGAGGTCAGTACAACGATGCACTCTTGCACAACGCATCTTAGGAACTATTTGCAGACTTCATAATCAATTGATGTTTTGCTTCCTGACCTCAAGATTCCAGGTTACCCGTAAGTGCTTGTGCTGCACGTACCCTGAAGGAACTTGTTTGGTGCGATCTCCTCACACTGAGAACCTGCCTCCCAGTAACACCTCCCCAATAAAGCTGTATTGGAGCTTAAAAACTCTGTTTTATTAGTCAGAAGGGTTTGCTAAGGATTTGCTGTCAGCCTGGACTTCCCCAGGAAGTTGATGCATTGCTGCTCTTCAGCCCTTCACATTAAATATTAGCCAACAGTACAGATTGCTGGTCTGTTACTTCTGTCCAAGACTCATATCCAAAATAAGATCTGAATTAGCACGTCTCTAACCATGCCTTGAATGGCAAAAGTGGGCACACAGTAAATAAATATAAATTCAAAAAAATGTTATGTACTTTAAACATTTTTTGTACATTAAACAGAAGTCACATTTTCTGTTTTAAAGGTGTCTCTGTTCAACTACATGTGCAACATTAAAGTACGACAAAGACAGAGCTTAGTTTTCCATTTGAGAATAAAGGTGCTTGGAAACATGCCTACACAATCCCACCCATTGCTTCTCCACTAATTCAAGGTGGTTTTCCCATAAGCATATCTGGTTTTCCATGTCCAACTGCAATTTGCATAAACTCTTCCCAGAAAAGAAACAGTTGCCTAATCTGCATTAATGGCTATTTTGGCAACAACAGATGATGGAGAAATCCTTGATTCTGTCTAGCATAAGAGGCATTTACATCAATAAGCATCTCGGCACAAGTTTATTTAAATGCAGTCTGCTCAGCATGCTTGCAGAATATAGCTGGTCTTGGTATCCCAAGTATAATCAAGGTGTACCCAATGAGATTTACTTCTTTTGAAAGAGATAGACGTGAACAATGCCCTGATATCCAAAGATGCTATTCTAAAAGGACAGAATATCTGTTCTTGCTGCTAGTTCCTCTCCTTCTGCAGCTCTGTTTTTGTTCCAATCCTAACACCACACATCAGCTGAGCCATCTAAGTCCTGTCTATCTAGCAGCAGAATTAGCAGACACATAAGTTCAGCAGCCATGCTGACAATAAGAGGTACAACATAATTTGCACAACCTTAATATACAACCAGAAAAGACAGGCACTCAGGCATTACAAAGCCTACCCTATATCCAGATGGGTTGCTTAACTGTCCACAACCTCCATTTTTTCAGCAGTAACATGGAGATAATAAACCTGCCATGTTTGACAGCAAGGCTATGAAGCTTCATTAATTTAAATGATGAGAAAGCCTACTGAGCTCCATATAGAAAAAGTGTTATTTAAGGTTTTTATTCCAAAGGAGCAACAAAAAAAGATTCCATTTCTGGTATTGTCTACATCAATTTGCATACAACTGTCCAGCTCCCCAAGAGGTGCACTCTTCCTTTTTCTGCTAAGGACTTCTGTGTGTTACATAAGAAAAACATTAACAGAAAGATGTCTCAACCAGTGAAGATCTTATGATCATTGGATTTTTAATAGCATTTTTAAATTACACAGATTACTGTTCTTTACCTAAGTTACATGTGAAGTATTTCAACCAATAAAGAGAGAGAAGACTGCATTCTAATCACTTATGCTCTCATAGTTGCTGAATTAGAATGGTTCTTAACTCTGTTTTCATGGACATAGAAACAGAAACTAATGGAACGCATTACTTTCATTTGTCTCACTGTAACTACCAGCCTAAAGTTGGTGTTGCTAGATTGCAGCTAATCTATACTGTTCTTTATTTAAATTTCATCTATTCAAAAATAAAATCATGAAAAGAAACAAAAGAGATGCTGCAACCTTAAGTAATACAGGCTGGAGCAGAATCCAGATGTCCTCTTTTAGCTTTTCAGAGAACTCCAAGGTGCAGTAGCTTCCCCTCAGAGCTTCCATATACTGCTGTCTAATTCAGTGATGCTTTCCTTGGTTACAAATGCTGAGACACAGAACATCATACGTCTGAATAAGCATAACCATGACTGCCTTTTTACCCTAGGCTGCGGTCACTGTTCAATTAATGGAGGTCAAATGTAACCTACTGAGTACAGATCTGACTAAGAAACTGACAGGAACAACAGACATCTTCTCCCCCCTCCTGTGATCCCCACCGGATTGGAGGAAAACTTAAATGCTACAGCTGGTTCTGAAAGCCTAGGACTGGAAAAAGTAATCAGCCAGAGCACTAAGATTCTTCTCCCATCTTATGGGGTATGTCACGTAAGAGTCTGAGCAGCAGCAGGCTGCATGGTGCTTCATGTGCCATAGCCAGGTATGCAGTGCAGAGAGCAATGAAGAACAACTGAAGTAATTCAGACAGCCCACAACAATTGTCTAAGGCGAAACATGAGGGTCTCCACACCCTGAACAGGTGAGGATCTGAAAGATTTGACAGTAGAAAGCCACCGCAAGCCTGCTCCAACTTATGTCACAAGTTCTGTAGTGAACATCTTATGCACAGCGTCTGGAGTCTCACATAAACACTTTTTATATGAAGCACTCTACCATCTTTAAAAAGCTTCACACCTTCTGCAAGTCAGCAGCGCTGGGACCACAGTGACCCTCTGCATCACAATGGCAGGCTCACAAAGTACCCCAGCCCTGCAGGCATGTGAGCCCAGGCTGAACCGGGCCATGCACAGCCTCATCCAGTGGGCAGCAACTTTCTCTTGTGCACCTTTTAAAATATAAAGTTGTTTAGTCTAAATTAGGTACAAAATCTTTCTAATAACCTCCTTCCTGATGTGCTACACTTCCTTTCTCCAGAATCAGAATTGCCACTTACAAACAACAGTAGGAACCAAACTATTTGTTAATCACTTTCCACAGCTAGCAAAAAGACTTGCTATTATCTCAGCCTCTATTATCTATACTGCTTGCTGCCTAAGAGCATAAAATAATATCTCCTAATACTAATATTTTGCTTGTCCGGGCAAACTATCTTTTATGAGTCAGCACATTTGCAAAATGAAATGAAGAGAAAACCACTTGAAGTACCTTGCCATGTAGTTTGTGGACATCATATCTTATCTGAGCAAACTCACGGAGTCCAAAAGATCCCCCAACAATGTAGAGCTGAAAAACAACACAATGAAAGCGTGTGTTAGGACCGTCACAGAAAAAAGAATCATAGAACCACCAAGATTGGAAAAGATCTCCAAGATCATCCAGTCCAACCATCACCAATATTTCCTGCTGAACCACGTCCCTCGGTACAACAACTAAACATTTAGATGTTGTGAAGAACACTCCACATACTGACACAGAAACACAGAGAGCAAAGTTTTGTGGTCTGGCAGCTGGATATATCACAGAGCTACAGCTTCAAAAGGTTGGTAAGAAAATCCTTTGAGAGGCCTACCACAAATGGGACAGCCCCGTATTTGTAGCTCAAGGCATTAATGCTGTTCTTCTGGATAGATACTGATTCATCTATACATACAACAGAAAAGGAAGTATTAATATCAAGGAAAAAATAATGCTTTCTTTATGTATGAATATTCTGGTAAGAACAAGTAACAGGAAACAGAAAATAAAAGCATTCAAAATAGTTTAAAAGAGCCTGAAAATTATTTAAGATTTATTCAGCCGTATCTGGTATGTCAGCTGATGATATGCTATCTTCACACCATATGCTGAAAGTCTCAAGGAACAGACAGTAAATGAATCTTAATATGGTTGACATCTCAGCAAAAAAAAAATCCATTAGCTGATATTCTTTAAGTTCTAATGAGAATTATGTTAATTAACATCTTATGTGTTAATTTAACAAATGTCATGTCCTAAAGAAAGAAATCAGCAGTACTACAGTCAAGTTTATAGTTACAAACAGCGCTTTATGGTTGTGATGTCAGAGTGGCTGTGGTGGAGCCAAAGCAGATGCACTGGTGTATAGCAGGTTCAGCGAGGGAGAAAGCAGAAATCCTTGCAGCATCACTTCAAAATTAGCCTGTCTGACAACAAAATTGCATGAAGTATATTGTTATGAGATGTAATATGAACAAAGGCACGTTCAACTATAAAGCAAATGTTTGGGGGCTTTTTTAGCTTAGATCATCTAAAACTCTGTAAAGTAGCTAGTGGAAGTGAGGCAGACAGCTGCTGCATGAAATAAATCATGTGCTGCTCTCATTTGGCCTCACCACACTGTTTCACTTGTTTGACAGCAGCCATCTATTATACATTAATTTCATGTTTGCAGCTATACACATGATAAAGAAGTTGATACACACACACTTCTCTTCCTTAAGACAAGTTTTGGCCTGAAACTGTAACCTTATTCACAACATCTTTATGCTGCTCCTGGGGCAAAAAACTTGCATTTCAGTTTCCTTTTGCTTTTCATACAGCATAAGCAGAACAGCCAGCCTGGTAAGCTGGACACATTGCTTAGAGTCATTATCAATACGAATGCCTTACACTTCCAGTACTGTGATGGTCAGTTTCTCTTCCTCCAGATCTTCTCCAACCTTGGTGATTCTATGATTCTATGCCACAGCAGCTCTTAAGTTAATTATATATATATTTAACTGCATTCAAAAGTCAGTAAAAGAAGCAATGACAGTACAGGAAGGTATCAATGAGTTTGTGCAACTGTAATAGCATTAAAGGTAACAAAGTACCTGGAGACAGACAATGTGTTGAGTGAAGTACTGGCCTTGGCTTAAGTATTGCTGTTCTCTTTTGTACTATGAGGGAAGATGTCCTCACCTTGTTCATATAATTGTATTTAAAGGGAACAGTACAGACATACAAACAATGATAGATCTAGATTTAGCAGGCAAAATAATCAGAAGTGGGGTAAGACATTACAAATTTCAGCAATGTTCTTAGCTTGTTGGCTTTGCATACTCCGTAACTCTCACTCACGTTTCTAGTTTTTCAATTTATAAAATGGAGATAATCTCTACGTTCCTTGCAAGATAAAAAAGCATTACAACGAATTAAATTGCTCAGTGTAAGTCAAGGGCAAAGCAAAGTCCAGTATGTTCCAACAAATGCCAGACAGGCCCAGACAAAAGAGACGCAGGGGAAATCCTAGCAGAAGCTATTCAGGATACCATATAAATAGAACAATCAGGTTGGCAACATTTTCATGAGGTCAGATGCAACTTGACGCTCCACTTAAAGTGAAAACTGGGAAGGCAACTCCAAACAAAAAGAAAATTAAGTACATTTTCCTCCATCCTGATCTAATAATCATATGCTTAAATCATAAAATGTAAATGCATGAGCAACTGAAGATTACCCAAGTCGGAAAGTTGAGATATAACGGCATTCTGCAACAGAACCGTTAGTTTTACATGCTTCAGATACTGAGCACAAACTTTATTATGGAGTGAACACAACCTGCTTAATTACTTGAATGCATTCAGCAGAGTGATGAAATGCTGTGCTTTCTCCTTTCCTCCCAAAGTTTAGCTTAGGATGTAAAACCAGGAAACACACTGGTGAAGCAGCACTCAGCACCCGTTAGGGTGAGCAGCTCAGCAGCAGAGTGAGCTCAACCTCCCATCAAAGAACTCGTGCTGGATCATTTCTTTATGTTTCAGTGAGTACACAAAAAAAAAAAAAAACAACAAAAACAACCCTACAACGTTGTAATGCAATTATGCATGCATGGAAGACTTGCGTGTTGCAAAACAAAATGAAAGATAGGATGTGACATAAGAGCACCATCTGTCACATACACTCAGCAGCCTCAATAAATGTCTTATGTAAAAAAATGACATAGAACTCTCTTTAATTCTTTTTAAAAATCTATTTGTTCACTTCTGCGTTGGGAAGTATGTTATGCAATTAGTTATAGATGGCATCAGGCTGATCATTTGAACTGTGTGTTAGGATGGATAACACTTGTGTTTGTCACCAACCACAGCGAGACGATGTTCACTGAGGACTCATAACAGCACAAGAATATAGTTAAGAGCAGATCCCTACTTTTTTGGAGCCATTTTCAGTCTCTTGGGCTAAAACAATAACAGGAAACAATTTCTCCAGCAGCAGCGATTGGTGGTGTTATAAGCATCCCTGTTGCTAGAGAGACTCATCCCTGTTACAGCAGTGACTGTGACAGGCAGATCACGAAGGTACATTACATTTGTTGCAGAGCCCTACATGAAACCACACTAATTAGTGCTGGCAACCCATATTACGGTGTAAAGAAAGCAGGAAAATGTTATGATAAATATTGCTGGTGAAGGAATGTGATAATTTTCAGCCTCTTCTTCAGGACTGCTGCTGCAAAACCCTCCAACTACTCATTGTGAGCTTCAAAACTAGAGCAGCTATGAATGATTTTTATTTTAGTTTGCAGTGATCACAGTCAAAAGGGTTTTGGGGTTTCCTTTCTAAAGAACTGTCATGTATGCAGTGTAGGGCTGGTGAAAGACAGCAATTTGGCAGTCCAGGGGACTGAAGTCTCCCATTTGTTTCCTAAATAAAGCAGCATTTTGCACTGCCAAGAAAATCAGCCGAGCCTCAAGCGCCCTCCTCTGCCAGCTCCCACTCAAAGGAGTTGCTTGCCAGTGCTGCGCAGGCTGCTGAGAGAGAACCGGAGCAGAATCCTCTCTGAAACTGACTGAGATTTCACCCTGCTCCCAGTGGGAGCAGAACCAGGTCTGCCTTTCTTCTTGTCCGCAACCACTCTCAGCCCAGATCAGGGGAAAAACAAAAATACAAATCTCTTAATTTGATTCAAGAGCACAATCAAGTAAGGGAGCGCTCCGACTTACTGCGTACATTAGAGCTTACAAACTGCACCACATCCAGAAACAGATTAAACACGCCAATAGATGGCTGCATCCTCACCTGGGGCAGCACCTGGCACACAGCAGAGGCAGTCACAACCAGCTGGTAACGCAGCCCTGTGCAGTGCTACGCAACCTGGAACTCCAGGCAGAGTACTGCACTTGGACAAGCACTGCCTTAACCAGCTCAAGGTAGAGTATGTTCAAAGCAGTCAGTCTGACAGTTGCAAATACGAGTGGCTACAGGCCACAGTACACCAAAACAGTCCACACACTTAGACTTACAGTCGTATGATTTGGAAGGGCTCCTTAAAGGCCATCCAGCCCAACTCCCCTGCAATGAACAGGGACACCCACAGTGAAATCAGGCTGCTCAGAGCCCATCCAGCCTGACCTTGAGTCTCCAGGGATGGGGCATCCACTGCCTCTCCGGACAACCTGTGCCAATGCTTCACCACCTTTACTGCAATAAACTTCTTCCTCATATCCAATCTAAATCTCCCTCTTTTAGTTTGAAACTGTTTCCCCTAATATTACCACAGCAGTCCCTGCTAAAGAGTCTGACCCCTTATTTCTTACAGCCCCCCTTTGGATACTGAAAGGCTGCTCTCAGGTCTCCCTGGAGCATTCTCTTTTCCAAGCTGTATAGCCCCAACTCTCTCAGCCTGTCACTTGCAATGCTACTATTCTGTGTCTTAGGAAGAAAAAAACCAAACACATTTGTTTATTAAAATGTCCATTTCATAACAGGTTGGAAAGCATGGCAAACACATTAAGTAGAAACCAACCTAAGAACAATGCAGAAGAGACAGCAAGCCATATGTTCCTCAGTGTGAGCAATTAGCAAAAAAGGGCATTTTCAGCCACAGCCCTGTCACTTTGCATTACACACATTGATGGCTTGGGCTGCTCAGATGACCCAGGAACTTCACTCAGCAGCTGCAGCTGTCTGAAAACCAGGTTTGCCATAGTGGCTAAGCTGCAGCTGCTGGGTACCACCTTCTCTTTCTCCAGAAGCTCCTAAAAGCCAAGATTTGGATTCCTTCTTGAAATTACCAGTCTGGGCACTCACGGGTTCAAAAAGTAGAACGGAGCACCTACTTGTTTGTCTAATACTTATCTGGAAGATACTCCTCAAATATTAAGAATCAAAAAGAAAAGTTGAAGGCACTGATCCAAAGGTGAGCTCAGAAACAGATGAGCTGACAGTTTTGCATATGTCACATCTCATTGTAAAACTCCACAAGTAATGGATGTTAATGAAAATCCTGCCAATTCCCCAAGCCTGCATTCCCCCACCACCACCTTGAGTGATGCCAACAATGTTAACAATAGCACTGACATATCTAGAAGTAAAAAAAAAAATGTTAATTGCAGCAATCCTTTTTCATACACTATCAAAAGTGAATTTAATAACAGTTTTTACAGAGAGAGCAAGAGCCACAGCTTCCAGTTGAGCTGGAATTCAGCAGTGAAAGAAACTCATCCACAGACAGAAATTCATATCCTGATGGGTGGGAATGTGGGTTTTTGGAGCAGGTCGATAAGGCTGGGAAGCCAGCGGTTCATTGCGTGGCCTGAGACACTGCTGGGCTTCTCTGTGGGTCTCCTGGGAGATGAACACATGGTCACAGCATTACCCAATGCTGTCTTGCTCCTCTGATGCCTGGGATGAAGTGTCTATCAAAGACAACCTGCACTGCTCAAGGCAGCAATGTAGATGGCAATGTAGGACAGTCTGTGCACATGGACACTGGTGGAAATACATTTTAGGAAAACATTTATTCATAGAAAAAAAAGATCTTTCACAGTTCTAGGCTGCCCTCATCTTCTCTTTTGGCAACACTGCACACAGTAGTTGAAACACTGAAGATCCAGAGAGAGGAAGAGACCTACAAGGAAAGCACTTGTGAACACGCAGTCATTACATGACGAGGGAAAAAAGAAGAAAGCAAAAGAAAAGGAAAGATGTGGAAATCCTCATCTACAGATATGAAGGATTTTGCAATGCTCTACAAGCTTGAAATCTGAAATAGCACATGTATAGAGCAATATGCTTAAACAGGTGTAAAACAGAAATCCCCAAACGAGCACAGACTGCGCGTCCTGCCTGTGAAGACACTGAGAAATTCATATTGATAAGCTGACAGGAGAACTGGAACCACAGCTGCATGTGGCTTCTGCAACTTACAGGATATGAAAGACCCTCGTTTGGAATCAGCCAAAGGCTGAATTACAAACACAAGATTTGGAAAGTGTCCTGAGCATGCAATTTAATGATTTTTACCATGTTTTTTAAAGTAGTGATGAAGCTCTCCTGGAATAAAACCAAGTACCCTGAAAATGCTTGTGTATGGTAGGCTTCATGTGATAAGGAGACATTTTACATTATGATAGGAAAGAGATGCCAATGCAGCTGGCAAAGACACTTAAGCCACCACAGCACAGCCCTCCACCCTAACAGTGAACTTCAGAGCTACATCATGCAGTCAGCCTGGCACCAACACAGCTGTCACCACCTCCACTTCAGCCCTCAGGCTGCCTGGCCAGCAGCACACAAGCTGGAAAAAGTGTGCCCAAACACTGCAACTGACACATCTTCCTGGCAAAACTGTTGTCAGTTTAAGGTTTTAAGGATCAGCCAAGAAAATCCCTTTCAGACAAAAATATTCTAACAACTCCCAAATGAACACAGGGGAAATAAAAGGATCAAGAAGATAATTTACACTAAAAAGGAAGAAATATTTTTAATATATATTTGTGCATGTATGCTCGTAGCAAGAGCCTAACCTACCACTGAGTTACCATCTCTTTAACCTTGGAGTATTTTTAAAGAGTGCTACAGAGGCTTTTTATTCAAGTGCAGTGCAAGGAGGCAAGACATGAGATTCATTTCAATAATAATAATTACAATAAAAAAAATATAGCGCTGATGAGGTCCGGTATTACTGAAGAATAAACTTCTGTCTAGTGAAAAAATGTACAGCACGCAAGCTTCTAACAGGACCTTGTATGTCAGTATTATCACCAAATTCAGCAGAACTTGAAGGTCACAAAGGCACACTTTTGCAGTTCTGGACACACATTCAGTGCCACTGGTGCTGCAGTTGATCTTTTAGCAAAACTGTGTTCAGCTCCTGAGGTGCTTTCAGAGTTCAATGTTCAGCTGGGGAGCTGCCATGAGCCACATGAATTGTCCTTTTCCTTCCTCGTTAGGTAGTCTTTGGGCAGCAGCATGATGACATTCACAGGGGACAATAATTTTAAGGCAGGGGAGACGTGAAACCCCAGAAAGAAAGAAAGCAGAGTGTTCCTCTGCTTAACACTGACTCCAGAGGAAGAATCTCTGAAGTAAAGAAAGGGGAATGAAATTCTGGAGTGCAAAGTCAAAAACAAATTAATTAATTAAAAAAAAAAAAAAAAGACAACAACAACAAAAAAAACAGTCACCCCAAAACTTCTGCTATAGACTGAGGAGAAATCGTGCAAAAGCATCAGAAATGCTGAAGGGCTGCCATGGTCTGGGACCCACAGCCGTGCTGGCAGCTGCTTCTTTAATCCCTTCCTAAAGAGTACCACGAACTTCCCATCCTAAGGAAGAGTCCCTTCTCCCTCAGCAGCCGATCCGACGTGTGTGGACTTCAGCGCTTCTTTCACAAGCCACAAAAGCATCGCCACCCACAACGTATCAACAGCCGTGCAGAACTTCTCAGGACAAGCTGACCGGGTGCCTGCAGTAACCCCAGCAGCACAACGCCTGCTGCATCTTTTACGTGCCGGGCCTTCCCGAGTTTACAGGAGCTGCTAAACTCGCCCCGCTGAGGGCTCGGAGGAGTCCATCTCTTCACCCTGCATCTTTCTGTCTCTCAGAACGACGTTTCCCTTTTTCCCCACAGTATTATGACCTGCGTGCACCTTGCAGGACCCGCCAAGGCCCCTTGTCCTTTTAGAAGACCGGTCGCTCGCAAGCTTTATGGCACTTTTTCGACCCCACAAGAGAACAGCACATCCGCGCCGTGCTTCCCGCAACGCCTCATCACGCCCCCAGCTGCGCCGCCCCACCGAATCGGACTCGTTCGTTACCGGAAAGCTGCGGCCACGGCATCCATAACGTATCCGCACAGCGCCTTTCCCCGCCCCGCCGCACCTCCCGTGCCTTAACCCTCTCTCTGACCGCCCCGCTCACCAGCAGCGGCACGCCGAAGGTCATCGTGCGGCCCCGCCACAGCTTGCGGAGCCGCTCCATGAGGCTCCACCGTCCGCCCGCTGCTGCCGCTTCCGGCGCCGGGCCGCCCGCCACACCGCTCCCTCCGCCGGCGCAGCCCACACACGGCGTTCCGCTGCGCTCCGCGAGGCCGGCACGCCGCTGAGGCCGGCTCGTAGGGCAGGCCAGCTGTTGCCTAGCGTCGTATAAATGTACTGCGTCGTTATATTAAGGCATCACGCTCACGAGTGGCGGTTCGCTCCGTATTCCAGCAAAGCAGAGTTGCTGCGGTGTGGCTGTCGTGGTGAGATCAAAGTGTCCTCCGCAAAACTGCAGCGATCCTCACCTGCCCTGACATACAGTTAGTGCTCTCTGAATGCATACAGGGAAAAGAACAGGGACTTTGCCTTCATGAGAGACAGCTTTGAAGCCACAGGAATGAGAAAGCAAGAAATTATTACGCAGTGGAACAGGTTGCCCAAGGAGGTTGTGGATGCTCCATCCCTGCAGGCATTCAAGGCCAGGCTGGATGTGGCTCTGGGCAGCCTGGTCTGCTGGTTGGCAACCATGCATGTAGCAGGGGGGTTGAAACCACATGATCATTGTGGCCCTTTTCAACCCAGGCCATTCTGTGATTCTGTGAAAAGACTTTGTGTCTAAACTGAGATCAGGGACATTTAGAGAAAGCAAGAGGCACTGAGGGATCAGGAGCTTCTACAGCTGGGACACCCCAGCAGGGCAGGACCAGAGCAGCAGGAATCAGTGCCATTCAGGGACGATAAAGCACTGAGATCACTGCTGCAAAGAAACACACGGCATCTGCCCTCCCCAGGGCAGCATGTAGGCTTTGTTAATATTCACTTGGTGGATAACTGCTGCGTTGCCAGCTGAATTTTCACTTACAACAAAAGACAGTCAGCTCAGTGCTGGCAAGGTACACCTGTAGCCCCCAGTAGCTTCTGTAGAGGAACAGACATCCTTCCAGAGGGTTTCCTTCATGATTTTGACCTTTTTGTCAAAGCTCATTGATTAAGGCAGTCCCCAAAGTCTGGTCATTAGCTACATCTTTCATTTTGTTTCCTAAGGAAGTGACAGCCACCAGAACACTGTCAGTTTTCCCACATTGTTATCCCTTATCCTAATCACATTGCACCCCAGAAACTTGTATATCCTTTCAAAACAAAGCTGGCTGCACAGATAAACTCCTCCAAGATTTAGAACCATTCGTTATTTATTCCAGGTAGCAAATGAATGAGTTCTACCATTCAGTCAAATACCTGAATTCCAGAAATGCCAACTTTCATATGGGAGCTAAGAGAAGAGAACAGTCCTGTGCCCATCTCTGTGCTGTACTGAGGGTGGGATGAATCTCCCAAAACCACGACAGCTGCCATTACAGACATAGAAGTGCTGAGAAGAGAGGTTATTGCTTACCTCATTCCTCTCACTTTAACTTTCCTTAGAAACAGTTTGACATGTAACACCAGCATTATGCTAACATCGCCTTTGGTGTTACTTTCTCACCTGTTGCTATTAGCTCTCTGTTAGAGAAATAATCCACAGCTGCTGATGCCCACGTGCAGAGTCAGCACCCTCATGTTCCAAATTCTAAAAGGGCCCAACAAGTCTTGGGTTAAAGGGTTGTGTTGGTTTCACTGAGTGCTCTGGTCAAGAGTTATAAGCTGTTCTTTTGTTTCCACTGATAACTACTGGTATCTGAAATTTTCCTATGATGTTACAATCCAGAAGAGTAAGAGAAAGCAAATATGAAACTAAATGCAAATGCTATATAATTACATGATAATAACAATAATTTTATGTTCAGAAGGATAAGATTTGCTTAAATCAAACATGCTGTGCCAGAGATAAGCAGTAAATTAGACTTTAAAAATGTTTTCACTTTTAATAATCTAAAATGCTGTTAAATTACAGAGATAAAGCTATTATCAATATATATTTTATTTCCACAGTGTCCCTTTGTTCTTGTCATTGTTCAATCACCTTGAACAGAGAGGAGTGAGGAGAAACCTTTTTGAAGAGTGGAATATATTCTCATTTTGACTTACAACAGAGGTTGCATGCCTCCTTGTTATGACCCCTACATAAAAGACTGACAAACATAAAAGTAGATAAACATCTAGTTTTTATGACAACAACAGTTCACCCCAAGTGTTACTCCCAATACTACAAGCACTTATCCACATCCCCAAGAAGGCTGAGTGCAGCTTTCTTGTCTGTTACAACACAGCCAGTTAGATATTTTATCTTCTGGAATACTGTGAAGGTTTTACTTGTGAAATGTGCCACTGGAGCCGTAGTTCTCTCCTAAATGTATAATGATGTTCTATCTGGAGCTCAGGTGCAGAATAGTAACCTGAGGGTGCTGGTAGGCTGGCTTTTGTCAGATCAGGAATCCCTGGTCTATGCAAAAGCTCTGGGAAAGCCTTTTCTTACTCACCTCCAGAGAAGGACCTACAAAGTGATTTTAAAATTCACTGCACGTACTGTGCTGCTGGCTATTGGCAGGCACCCTGGGAACTTCAGACGAATGGAACTTGCATTGCTGGTTTAGGCTACAGTGACCATGACTGCAGGTGAAAAGAGCACACAACAGTACATTGTGTAATGTTTCTGGGCAGCAGAATGGAAAACAGGATGGAAATCTTATTAAACATCCTGGAACAAGCCAGGGTAATCAAGACTGGTGCTGGATTGGATATCAGGAGCTGTAGAACTGCTCACAATGCAGTACTGACTGTGAGTAGCCAAGGTTTATAAGGAGTATAACTTTAGTTCAGTACAGAACTTGCAGCAATTTGTTCAGAAGATGAAAATGGAAGGTGCGTTGTAAAATGCTCATTGTCCAAACACACATTTTTCTCCTTTTTCACTGGAGGTATGCACATGTAACAAAACATGAAGCACTGTCTGTGCAGACATGATGTGCATCATAGCCAAGACCTTCAGCACTGAGAGCATGCACTTCTATATACCTGAGCTAAAGAAACAGCTGGTTGGATTTACCATGCTCTTGGTCTTTCTTCAAGAGTAAAAGGAAACAACATCTCTGAAGGACTTACAGTTCTTTCTGGATGGAGGGGAAAGTCCTGACTTGATAGCAGCTGTTAAGAACAGCGTTTCTAAAGTTGCAACCTCCTGTCATCACCAGACCTGTTCTTTTTTATTCTCCTTTGTGTGGTCAAGAGGAGCTAGAAGGGGGAGAGAGGCTTGGGTTTCCCTTTGATGCTCTCCTGCATCTTCTGAAACCTTGGTGAGGTAATTGAGTAGAAGGGTTGGTATACCTCTCCTTTTCTCCCTCCTCAGCTTTCTTGTCAGCCATCAGAATGAACAGAAACACCCAGATTCATATAAAGAACCTGCCTGGAGAGACCAACAAGCCAGCTCTGCCCATTTTTCATGCCAGTGAAATAGTGCACACAACAGAAGGCACCATGGTGGCCCATGCATGGGAAGGGTCACCCATGCTTTCTTGATGTGGCCCTAGGTTTCCCCCTCCACCTCCAGAAAGGGAGGAGGAGGAAACAGGTTCATCACTTATTTTTTACCTTCTTGGGTTGGCTCTGCAATGGTCTGGGGAAGGGTGGCTCAGGAGACATGTTTTATGTTTATGGGTGCAGAAGAAAAAGCTGAAAGAAGTACTGATCTTCCCAGTAGATTTCTTCCCCTTATCTTACTGCTCCAGAGGGCCATTTCCCTCAAAAACAGCCAGCAAATGTCAGGTACGTTTGCCAGCCTGGGGAAAAAAAAAGGTAACCAGGAACACTGCCTAGAAGTAGGGGATCTGAGAGGGGTTTGTGCCAAAAAGCACCAACATGGACAACAGTCATCTCTGCACCTACTTAGTAGCTGCCTCTAAGCAGTAGCTTTTTTTTTTTAATCCCGAAGAAAAGCCATAGTAACACATTCATTTTCTGGGTTCTCTTTGTTATTATTTTCAAGAGCAGGGCAGTCAGTCGAGCTCTTAAATTTGAATAATGAAAACTGGTAGTTGTAAGAACATCAGCACCTTTCAATTCCTTCACATGAATTAGAAACCTGATAATTACAAAAGGGATGTGGCTGAGTGGAGCTTGTTGCTGGTCTAAGAGATGAGAAGGTTGAGTTCTGGCTCTGCCTGCCTCACTGGGTGCAAGCAGGAAATTCGCCATGTGGCAATCCAAGCCAAAATACAGAGGAGGCTGCTGGGATCAAGTGGGTGGGGGAAGAGATAAAAAGACAAAACTGTCCTAGTGGAGGGACATCACAGTATGGTGCTCCCTGCTCCTACATGAGCTCTCATGTCTGAGAGAGCAGCATTCTCCATGGATCAAGGAGCATGGGGATCCTGGGAGGAGAATCCAGCAGAGTTGCCACATTCCTCAGCTCAGTGTTGGAGTTCACAATCATTTTGCCAAGTAACTGTAGTAGCAGCCTTTTGAATAGGGTCTGAAGCTTCTCCTCCTCAGTAGTAGGGGTCTTCCCTCCCCTGCTTTGTCAGATGAAAAAAGAGATAAGAGGGGAGAAACCATGGTGTGCGAAAGGGTGACTGAGGAAGAAACAGCACAAGAAAGAGGAGAATGTTACTAGAGGCCATAGTGGGCACAGCTCAGACCCTGGTATGTCTACAGGTTCGTGAGGTGCCTGAGGCTGAGGGAGTGGCAGAGGTGGAGGGAGACTCCTCGTCTGTTGTGTCCCCATGCTCCTCCTTGTGCAAGCCAAGGCTGATGTGGCTCTGCAGGGCTGCTGGGGTCAGCCACTCCTTGGGGAGGCAGCTCTGGAGGAAAGGGATGCAGGAGCTGAAGTAGGCCAGGCGGTTCACCCAGCGGGGGATCTCCTTCCCACACAGGATCTGTGGAGCAAACAAGAAAAGAACACAGTTAATAGTACCAAAAGGCATCTGTAGTGGCAATATTATTTCCATCTGCACCATCATCTCAGCAGGGTGAATTCCCCGTTGCTCTGATGAGAGCTGTTTGAATGCAGGGAGCATCTTCTACAGCTAAAAACAGCTCTAAATGCAAATGACTGCACACAGTGACTTCTCAACATGCTCACAGAGCTCTGCCAGCCATAGCCCTTATCAGCATCAGAGCGGTGACTGGGGAAAACAGCTCATGGCCCTCAACATCTTCGGCTCAAAATTTTTGCAAAAAGATTTAGGCTGTTACTGGGCAGACCTTGAGGAGTCAAGAAGCTGAGCCCAATGAGGCAGATTGGAGACATCTAAGAAGTTGTTCTTTCTGCTCACTTTTCATCCTCATGCTGACACACCAAGTCAGTCAAGCCATGGTATCTACTCTTTTTCCTATTGTCAAATTACCCTTTAATTTCTCTGTGTGGTATTTCCTGAAAGTGGGGAAAAGAGGAACAAACATAACTCTCACAATTGTTTTCTCTTAGCAGACACAGAAGAGGCACCAGGAGCTAATCAGCCTCAAGGAGCTGTCTGTGGTAAATTTACTGCCAGTGCAGCCAGTCCCACAACAGCATTCCAGAGCCTAAAGTCTGTGGCAGGTACAATGGTCATAATACCTGAATTCTCCTTCCAGTACAGTTTACAGGACAGACTGGGAGGAAATTCCACCCCACTAATCCCACTTTATGTAGATTAATGGTTCCAAGGTTCCCATGCTGCTCCTTCTGCCAATGCTACATTACTTTGCTCTTTCTGCCACTCTCTTCCTATCTAAAACTACACTTAATTTAATACTCATTACTGCAAAAGGTGTTTGTCTCTAGTCCACTAAAGAGCTTATCTGGTGAGATATCTATTATTGACAACGGAAATGCAGAGCTTGCTTAGAGATTCTAAGAGATCTGTTAGGGAGCAGCACTAGAGCAGTTGCTGGAGGACAGGCCAGCCTGCTTTGTAGTTCTAAGGACTGATGACCATCTGGTCCTTGATGCGTACTGTGATCTGGCCAGAACAATCTCTGCATCAGTCCAGCAGTCCCCTTGAGTACAACTAAATTAGCTAACTCCAACAGCGTGGAATTCCCAACAAGGTGTGGAGCAGGCAGTCAACCCATGACCATGCTAATTCCACTATGGAACTCAGTTTATTTTGACATACATGGTTTAAAAATCCATGTGTGAAACCAAAGACATTATTGTTAGGTATCAGAGAATGAGCAGAATCATTCAGCTGCTAAGATCACTTACAAGCATAGATTTCCATTCTTTACCAAATATCCTGTAAATTATAACTCAAATGTAACTTCTACTTCAATTCTTAACAGTGCTGCATTCTACTTAACCTTAGATACAAACATATGAATCTGTATTTCCAACATTTTTAACCTGTGGCTAATTCCTTCAGTAGCAGTTCTCCCATCCAGATCCTTGGTTTCCATTGCTAGAACTACTGCTTGAATCAATAAAAACTAGCTCCTTCTACCTGCATTTAAGACTCATTAATAGAAAATTGGCTGATGTATTCAATTTTCTCACCAGACATCTCTTGCTTTCACAAGAATATTCCTTATTTTTTAAAACTGTATTCAATATCTTACACTGAAACACTGAACTTGAGACAAAGCCAACAAATGCAGAATTGCTTCTAGATTTAGTAGCATTTCTATTTTTCTTCCCCAAGAACTTAAGCTACGTACTGCCTGCGTAGAAAGTGACTCAGTTCAGGCTCCTTGGGACATATGCACTCGTGAATTTAGTTCTCAAGAAGCCATAAGTCTTACTAACAACATGCCCCCAAATATCAATAGGAAAACAAAAACTGAGCATGATTCTGATTTCTTCAGAAAATTACCAGAAGCTAAAAAGCAAAGGAACGGCACAAGGTTAGACTGCCTGGAATGGAAATGTGATTTTAAGATATGGTTTTCTTTTCTAAGCAGATCCCATAGCAACTGAAATAGCCCTTCCCAATGTGGAAGCGATGCTGAGATGTTTGCCGTTTGTTTATGGGAGCTTCTTCACCAAGAATGAATCTGTGAGGCTAAGAGAAGCCTCTCTGAGGACAGAGAGATGTGTGGACAGCAAGCCATCAAGCAGAAAAGGGCAGGCTGGGGAGCTGAAGGATATTGATGAAGTCAAAGTGGTTTCCCTTTCATCAGTTGTGCTTCTCTCTTGTTAGAGAAGCCTACAGTTGCCCAGCAAAACACACTGCTCAACGGGAGCAAAAAAGCAACTGCAAGGAAATGCCACTAACACTACAACCTGCTCCTCTGTTTTCAACTCCTTGCCATAAAACGTACTGTGCTACAGCACCCAGCAGTACTTAGCTAATGGAGAAACATCAAATAAACCCGACTGCAGTGGGATTAAGCCAACTGAGCTTAAATAAAACAACAAAAGCAAAAGGAAATGTTTTCCAATTGGATATGAGTCCACAGAAAATGTGCTTACTGAGGCTCTTCAAGGCAGTTCTCAACTGAAAACCAAACACTGGAGCAGTGAACTCACAGAACTCTGTTACTGTCCATTGTTTCCCCAACCAGAACTCTCATCTTTGTTAAAGGTTCTTGGAGTTTGGAATTTTAGAGGTTTTTTTTTTTTCTTGCCTGACAAACAGGTGGGTTTCTGTCTTTTGAAGGGGATAAGCTCCTGCTTGCTTCCTGAGACCAGTCCCCACTTCAGGCAGAAGCCCCTGTGCAGGCTGCATGTACGCGCAGCTTCCACTGCGTGGCATCTTGTGACAGTCACACATGCCTCCCAGAGCTGTAGTTGATGTGAGGACTGCATTAGAGCCGTGAGTGACCCAGCTGGCATCTGCAGAGTCGAACGGTAACAGCAGTTCAGACATTTGGGGCTGATGCCAAATCTGACAGAGAAGCTGGTCCTGACAGGTTGGGTGCGACTGCTGCTCAGCTGTCGAATCCACACCAGGATTTCAGCTCACCAAAGGGCAGCTCATTTAGAACCTAAGGCGAGCCTCTCAGCATCTTAAGCCTGCCATTTTGCACTAATGAGTCGCTGGTTAAAATGTATAAAGAGCTCTGGGAGTAAGAACTGCAACCCATGACTCTTCCCTCCATTAAAAACCCTAAGAGCTAGGGTTAATTTCTCAGCAAGATCTTAAAGTTCCTGTATGCTTTAGTTTGAGCAGGGAAACAGCTGTAAAACTCAGATTTAAATGCCATCCATCAATGGACAAGGCTGAGTCTTCTGCCTTGCAGAGGACAGTGCTATCAGTGAGCTGTTTTCCTCCTCTTTCTCCTCTTTCAAACGAGAGTGATGCTCCGAGCTACACTCTAAGCACTCTGTGTCTGTTGGCATATGCCAGACATACTCTGAGGTAGTCTCACAAAAGGAGCTCCTTTCAAAAGAGGCTGAAGGACTGAGTAGCTGTAGATCCTAAGACAAAATGCTTGGATGCAATAGGCTCTGTGCTGTGCTGGATGATGCACCTGGGGCAGTTCAGGCCATGAGCAGAAGAATAATTCAGGCATGCCGAAGCCACGGCCCACAGGCCGCGTGCGGCCTGGCACATCTCGCAGTGCGGCCAACCTCTGCCCTGCCCCGTCATGGCGGCAGCTGTGTCCCGGTGTGCACCCATCACTCGGCAACAATCAAAGCACTGGTGTGTGACTGGCACTGTTACTGGAACCAGAGGAAGGGGAGGGTGCAGTGCAGTGCTGACTGTTTCTTGTACCCATCACGGACACTGAGTTGCATCAAATTCCACGTGTGTTACACCTGGCACATGCTTGTGCTGCTTGTTGAGAACAGTGCAGTGTCGAGACAAATAATACGGCACTATGCTTAATTTGTAAGGAAACTGTGTCAGCTTTCAAAGATTACAATTTGAAAGGACATTATCTGCAAAAACACGCTGCCAAATTCGATGCATATCAAGGAATGCTTTGTAAAGACAAAACAGTGGAACTAAAGTCTGTCATCTCCACATAATCTTTTTTAAAAAGTTAACACAAATAGACTCAGTTGTAAATGCTAGTTATGTGGTAGCAAATCTGATTGCAAAAAAAAAATAAAAATCAAAACCATTTACTGATGATGAGTTTATTAAGCAATATTTGGAAAGTGTGATAGATGTAATGTGTCCTGATAAAAACCAGATTTTTCTAAAATCAGTCTCACCAGACTGTAGCCAGGTGCACAGAAGAAGTAGGAACTTCTGTCAAAGGAAATCTGGAGAGTGCCAATTTCAATTTTTATGACTTAGCAATAGATGAAAGCACTGATGCCACAGATACGGCTCAAGTTTTCATTTTCATCAGAGGTATTGATAATGAATCACTGAAGAAATAGCTTCTTCGGTGCTGTTAGAAGACACAACTAAATATCATGATGTGTATGAAGCAGTAAAAGTTACGTTAAAGCAATTTTTGTTAGCTCTTGTCAACAACTCATTGTTGACAAGCTATTGATGCTGCCCAAACGATGATTGGTAAAAAAGAGTAACTTATGAAATTAATAGAAGATGACACAATTACCACTGGCAACTCATTTTGATTAAATATCACTGCATCAGACATCAAGAAAATTTATGTGCAAAAGCTTTAAAAATGGTAACATCAAGCCAATTGTCATCAAAGCTATGAATTTCATAAAGTCCACGGGATTGAATCATTGCCAGTTCCAGGAATTCCTTAAAAGAATGGATGCTGATTATGGAGACATCATTTACTTTTCTTAAGGAAGGTGGCTAAGTCAGGATAAAATGCTAGAAAGATTTTATGATTTGCAAAATGAAATCAATTCATTTATGGAACCAAAAGGAAACTTTGTGCCAGAAATTGAAGATGAAAAATGGCTCATAGATACAGCATTCTTGGTGGATTTGAACACTCATTTAGAAGAGTTAAGCATAAGGTGAGAATCAACTTATCTGTGCTGTGTTTCAAATCATAACAGTTCAAAATGAAATTT